CGGCGTCATAATGAGCAGTGATTTGAATCAGAGATCTATATTCGTTCTCATTCACCGTGATCCCAGTCGGACCGTGGTATCGCTATGTAGGTATCATAGTTGTCATATTTAGGATCTAACTTAAAACGTCGAAGGGTCGCTTGAAGATTATCATATTCTCTTCATCATTCGCAAAATGAGACCATTTTCTATTCTCATTTTAATTTCCGGATTTTCTCTAGTACAAGCTGAACTTGTACAATTTATTAATCACTCTCTTACGTTGCTGCCTCGCTCAAATGCATCACTTGCTCAAGAATCTCACCTAATGCTACCTAATGTCGCGACTATATTTGGGTTCAAAGATATGGAATATACGGTGGAGCTGATACTTGGAGGGTAGGTCCTCAGGCACCTCCCTAGTAGACTCTGAATTTAATTTCAACTTATTACAGTACTCCAATCCAAGTTCTGCTGGATACTGGAAGGCATGCAAGGATTACTTACGGCGTCTATCATGCTGGCTAACCACGTGAATCACAGCTCTGACCTGTGGATTGATACTCAAGCTGTACATCCGAAAACGATTACTCAACATCTTAGTAGCAATGGATCCATTGAATTTAGCAACGGTGAACTTGTGCAAGGTGATTGGATTTTCCACTGTTGAGGGACATACGAAACTGAGAGGCAATTTAGGGACGATCGATATTGCGCCGGCCACACTGGCTGGCCACAAAGTCTCTAACCAATCTTTTCGTAAGTCTAAAATAAAATCTCGAATCATTCATCCCCTGAAATCATAGCTTAGTCTCGACACAAAGTCAGAGTCACCTACGGAAGGCAAACGGTGTCCTCGGTATAGGACCTCAATTTGGCTCAGTAATTCGTCGTAATTCAAGTTGTGATAACCAATCTAAGTCTATTCCTTTGATGGATCATATATTTTCTCAATCCAGTGGTCTTAAGTCTCTGGTGGATCCGGTTATTACTCTTTCCCTTCCTAGGATGGAAGGAAATGGGACTTTCAGCATAATGGATCCTGAACTTCAAAAGCGGTTCCAGAAATTACCGAAGGCTCCTGTGGTTATTACTCCGGACAAAATTAACCAGAAATGGACTACTAGGATTGATGGGTTTAATTTGGCGAGTCACTCGAATACCTCAAGTCATAATCACCTGGTTGCCGCCTACGATACAGGATCGACCTATTCATGGGTACCCTTAAGCAATGCAACTAGTATCTATGCACACTTCAATGGAAGTTATGATAAAAAGAACAACTTATTCTGGGTTCCCTGCACGACAGAAGTTACTGTCAATATCCGAATACATAATCAGACATTGTCAATGCATCCATTGGACACCACTATAGATGTCGGGGAACCGCTTTGCATCGGTACAGTATGTGCATCGCCCTAAAAGTTGTTAAAAATTACTTACAATTTACCCAGTTTATGCCAATAACTCCAGCACATATGACGTTTCTGGATGTTGATGTGATATTGGGTATGCCATTCTGTACGTGCAGGTATCCATTATTAGTTTGAACAATATTGACAAAGGGTATAGTTCGTAGCTTCGAAACTCTTATCAATTTCGGGAATTTCACACATACCAACTCCCAGCCACCATACATGCAATTCCTGCAACTCAATAAATCCTCCACAACCATATCCGAAGAGTTTCGCAAAAACCGTGAAAAACCTCGTAATAAAGTGAATGCACTGATGGATTTCGAGTTCTTTGAGGAACCGCCAAAAAGATTTAAACAAAATTCAGGTGATATTGAGAAAACTCCTAAGGCCTCAGGCGTTGGAGCTACTCTTAGTAGTGTCACCTTTCTCCCAGAAGCAGCTTGCGTCGTAACACATGTTTCGCGACTCTCAGGTGTTGATAAAGAACTATCAGATTCGGTAGAAACAGGAGAAAATGACGAAGGAGCTCATGGACTCTCCCCAGTCACTCTACGCCTCCTTATCGCAATATTGGTCCTGGCGGTGTTTTTCGGGAGTGGTATTGTGCTTTTTATTTACTGGAAACGACAACGTTCCAGGAAATTGTTGGAAGAAAATGACCCAGAAGTTAAACCATTAGTCTAAACCGGCCATCCATTGACGGGTTCCCTGCCTTGTATTTTGTGATTTAATATAATTAACTGTTGCGGGTTTGACGGAAATTGGTGATCTCGGAGAAAGCCGAGTCTGGGAACTGTATAGCTGCGGAGGCATTTTTGTAGTCCAAATTTGTTATATCACGTGACTATATTCAAGCTCTGCAGCGGACACTGTGATTGGTCGGCGCTTCAAATTTCCCTGAGACGGCCCTGTGACACTTCAAACTTCAAGCTAATCCTGTGTATCTTCGCTCTCACCAGTCTTCAAAAATCACAGAGTTCAACCGAATGGATAGATTACTCCCTGCAGATGAGCCTGACCCTTACGATGATATTCGTAACCCATACTGTCACCTCTAATTCTTTGCTGCAGATATTTCTGAAAGCTAATGATGGCTATATTCACTTAATGCTTTCACTGGAATAATTGTCTAAGGTGAATTGTATTGCCTACCATCACGTACACTCTAATTGAATAGGTCTATCCGGCTGCTGGAATCCCCTACGGAGCAAAATTCATCGCACAATTATTTCCTAAATGCAAGAATGCGAAATACCCGATTCTTTTCTCGGGGTGGAGAATGGAAGATTCCAAGATTCGTAACCTGGCTGTCTGTCCTTTTCACGCTGGCTGGTTTGGGAGGTTTTGCAGATAACCTGTCAGATAATGGTCATTACAAACGGGCTATCCCATGGCTCTTCGAATGGTGTGCATATGCCTTCAAACGAGTTGTCGATTTGAAGGATTTGGACTATCTCTGTCGACGAGATATAGTCAGCATGATGCCAAGTTGTCTGTTTGTTATTCTCAAGAAGAAGCCGGAGTGGCATACTACGTTCCTCGAAAACCCCTTCAGCATTGAATTAGCGATGTGGTTATGGTTCTTAGATGATGGGTTTCAGGAAATAAAGGGCGCAATTGATTCAGGACCAGTAAATTTTCTCCATGGATTTTCCGGGACTGTGCGCGACCATGAAAGATCTCCAGAACAGAACAGAACATTGGATGTAGCTGTGAAAAAATCGCATGACCTAATACGGTCGCCTGCCGTAACCTTTCGGTCACGCACCGTACCATTTTAGTAACACGCGTGGGACCGATCGGCTGCGCGATTGAAGGCTTTTAGACACGTTCATGGAGGCTTTCGGTCACCAGTTTACGCTCAGCCCTAACCACTTCTCCAATTTGGCTAAAACCTAGCCCATTCGAAAGAGCTATACTAGGAGAGATCGGGAAAATTGTCAGATAGTAGTAGAGAGCTAAGGTAAGTCCGCAAACTCATAATCTTTCGCCAGCATCACTCACATGTTCATGGAGGCTTTCGGTCACCAGTTTACGCCCAGCCCCAACCACTTCGCCGACTTGGACAAATCATAGATCATTTGAAAGAGATATACCAGGAGAGGTCAGGGAAATTCTCTTATCACAGCAAAGAGCTTAGGTGAGTCTACAGATTGATGATCTTTTGCCAGCTTTTCTCACTTGCATGGGTAAATTTCACTTTCTACATTTTTATTCTTATTCTCGAATTTTTTGGTGTATACTCGAATCTTTTATGCATATTAGGTATTATTACACAATACATTATCTTTGAACACAGGAATATCACGGTGTGGGTGAGATGTAAGGTTCAACTTAGGATTGGCAGGCAATGGTATTGCGCACTTTAGCTTTCAGACCTCAAATATACATCTGGATTTTCTATTCAATCATAAAGTCTGAGTTTCCTGATGAATGGACCGAAAAGCCTACGCTAATGCTGGGGTAATTATTTATATCTTTGTATGTCTTAATTTTTTGACACTTCAGTAGTGCATTGACTGTCCTCTGCAATCCAATGGATTTGATTGTAGACCTTTTACTATCTTTTTTGCACAGGAGTTCCTCACTGGAAAAGAGTCATCCAGAAAGACATTAAGTTCCATATTATTGGGGCCTAAGTGAATCCTACAATTTTGTCGTTCAATTGCAGCAACTCTTGGTTATCACTCACAGAGTCTCTGTGAAGTATTACATTATGGAGTCTGCGATGAATTCCTTGCCAGTCAATGCTAATGCAGTGCTTGCATTTAAAGTCAAGCACCCAGATACCTGATCAGACCTTGGGTATTGCTCCACTCCAAATATGGCCCCTTCACATGGTGACTATTCCAACACTAAATCCTCCTGGTCTCACACTAGCAACCCCAATCCATTCCTCAGAAACAAGTCATCACTATGAGTCTCCTGCAGTAAGTACAGTTTGATCTCTAACAGGTATAGTCTTCACTGAAAATTGAATAGGTGTATACACCTTCTCCTCCTTCCAAACCCTAGTGATTTTATAATACCCCCCTACTACATAGTTATATATGTAATAGACCGATAAAATATTATGGATTTACTATGAAAAATTTATATATTACTCTATCATATATCATTTGGGACTGGAGAGAAATTCTTTAAGGTAAGCATACAGCTGAAATGAATATCTATTGATTAAACAAAATTGCATGCGTTTATTACAGCTTGAAAGCGTTCAAGACATTTATATAAATTCAAAATCATAATTACAATTGTTATCAATCCATCTGAAGTCTGTAATATGTCGAAAATAAAACATTGTTCTCAAATTTGAATGCTCTCACCGGAAAAACACCTATATCATGTGGGGTATTAACGCTACTACTGAGCGGACAATTTTACCGTACTCTACTCGTCAGCACGCTAATTTAGATCCCCTATTTGTATGAATCGGTGCAGTGGAAATGGTCCAGCTTAAAGTGTCGACCAGTTGATTAGGGTCGGTGACCGAAAGGTTATGGTCGGTGACGCTAAGTATAGCCGCGCGTGACAGTGTTAGGTTTGGCGAAAAAATCTCTAGCTTGGTAATGCACTCCTTTGTTAAAAAGGAGACAAAACAATTGGTCCACAAAGGAGTCAAACCTGTGACCTTGGATTATTAGTATCACGCTCTGACCAACTAACCTAACAGACCGATGACTTCAAAACTGCTTTGATATTATGCTATGTGGCTGTACAGAGTGATATTAGATCCAACTTGAATATTAAGTTAGTCATTTAAATCCCTAAAGTAACCCTTGCATACAATAACTCAGCACCAAATAAGCAGTCTCACTTTCATTTACGAATAACTCGAATTAAAGATGAGTACAGGACCATGATGCAAGGAATACCACGAAGCTATTAATAATCGACACCGCGGCTAACGACTTCTTTCACAGTTGGACGTAATAGAACAGTATGCTCCTATTGTAGCCGTAAATTAAGAGAGGATTTGAAGCGTAATAGTTCACGTACAAACTGCGCAGTCACGGAGCCAGGAACGTCATAGAGAGGGTAATAATCGTTCACTATGCCGGCTTGCACGAGATGATTAAGCTATAGAAGTAATGTGAGTCTAGGAGGACCGCCCGAGATTATACGTTCTTACAGCTAGAAGATGTTTAGTCTCTCCCACGCGATCCAAATATCGACGACAAAATGGGAGGGTCCCGAAATTCTTATTAATGACTTTAAGCAGGGAACGGGCGGAGTTTAGTCTGTATCGTAGCGTGTGTTCAGTATGGATATTCTCTTTACGGAAACAGTGCATGCCTTATTGAAGGGTTTGGTGGAGGATCGAAAGACTTCCCGAAGTGAGAACACTCGCCCTGTGAGGAATTAGAGCAAGTAGAGGCACCCAAAAAATATGAGACGTACATCGTCAACGACTCTTCCACTCCCTGTTGACCCAAACGTCTCAATCGCATAATATTCGCCTTCTTCCATCTTAGTTTGGTCGATATTTCTCACCAACAGGATGCTCTTGCCAGGCCCATGGATTCTGTAATTCTGGATAAGATGGCCACTCAGATTTTCAATAGGTTTGACTGGAAGACAGGTCAGAAATTAGGTAAAATGTTAAAGTAAATGAACCGATGGTTTATACCTGGAATGAGTTTTCCCTTAATCTCAACCTCGTAGGATTCTATTGTCTCCTGAATGGCACCTGCGACTTCACCTAGCCGTGCATCTATCCCAGCAGCCTTCGATTGTTTGGTTAGAAGTTAATGTGTATTTAAGACATGTAACTCACCCGAATTCCAGCATTTGTACCAGCCTTCACAGCTTCCAACAGAGCATCATATGTGGGATCGAATGTCATTGTAAAGGCAGAATCCAATATCTTGCCCTTTACTTGAACGCCAAAGTCAACTTTGAGCACATCGCCGGGTTGCAGTACTAGATATCAAAATTAAACATAAGATGTTTGACTGAATGAGAAGGTCCTCGAAAATACCTGATTTATCGCCGGGATTCGGAGAGTAATGAGCCGCACAGTTATTGGTACTCAGTCCGGTTGGGAATGCGATCCCACTTTCTAACCCATTCTCTTCTACTAGTGCTCGTGTGCCGTCCTCGATCATTTCCGCGATCGAAGTCATAGTCATGCCGGGCTTGATAAATGGTTTGATATGCTTTCTGACTTGTCGATGAACCTCGGCAGCTCTTCTAATGTTGGCATAGGTTTCCACAGGATCATCTTGTATCATGCGTTCGATGTAACGTTTTTCTTCTGAAGTTGTGCGCCATGTATTGCTGTAGCAAAAAGATGTTGGTCGATATTAGGAGAAAGATAGTCTGGCCGTACCTATCCACATATTCTTGAGCCTCTCCTTCGGGGTAATTGCCATCTGGGAAGAATTTAGAAACACTGATTCTTGGCGGATCAGTTTGAGTAACAGAAGCTTTCTTCTTCTTTGACTTCTTCTTCTTCTTCTTCTTTTTCGCCTCGCCTAATTAATCAGAAGCGGTTTAAGGCCGGGTTATTGCTTTTTTTTTCCCTTGTTCCGTTTTTTGTTTGTTCTTTGTTGTTTTTGGGGTTTTTTTCTTTGTTGGTTTTCTTGTTTTTTTTCACCTTTGGGGGGTTTTAAATTCGGTTTTTGGGAAGTTTTTGCCATTTTACGTTCGGGCTTTTTGCTTTGGATTTTTTAATTGCCGCGGGGGTTTTTTAGGACCATTGGGGGGTTCCCTTACGGCGTTGCTTTCTTAGGTTTTCGGAACGACGGGGCCGGCCCCGGGGCCCGGTTCCGTTGTTGTTCCATTCCCGGTTTGAATTCTTTGCCTTGGTTTTGTTTTTGAATAGTGACAAAAGTCATGTGACATACATTACTGAATTAACATGATAAGTATGGGAAAGATATACGCAGCAGTAAGAACCATACCTGAAATGGAGGGCGGTTCAAGGGCGAATCGCTGAATGTCGTACATCTCAGGGTCACCTAAGTACTTATATCGCCTCTGGTTTTGAATCTGATGGCTTTTTTCTTCTGGGCAGAATATGAGCGACTACGGTTGAGGTCATGTAAGTACGGGTGCCAGTGCACTAACTTGGCAAAGCTCACTTACACAAGTCGCATTATATTTCCGCTTAATCTTCATGGGTAATATGAGAGTAACATCGCTTTTAATGTAGAGTGTGAGACGTAGTATACGATGTAGGAGATCAAAAACAGTCCTCAGGTTGTTCGATACCGACGTTGACGGAGTTGAACAATTCCAGGCAGAGGGCGTCTATTCTGTTGACTAAGCCGTAGACCGGCACTCTTTATGGAGTCCATATGCAATGATCTGCACTGAATCCATGTTTCACATTCACTGGAAAAAGAACCTATATCATCAGTTAAAACACTGAAATCCTGTCCATCTGCATCGATGTTGCAATTCCCGGACAATATCATCTCGCCGTCAGACATCCACCAATTATCCCTGCCTCCATGTTACCACTTTATTTCTTCTTTCCAAATGTCCTCTCGGATGGATCTAAATGTTTGCGATCTGTTTTAATTTTTACACAATTTAATAATTAATGTTATTAATCAGGCTGCTTTCAATATTTTTGCAATATTTACACCTTTCCAAGCTACAAGTCTATAGAATTGAAAAAGGAAATCTTTCCGGTCGGAAACATTTCGAAAGGCTTGTCAAGGAACGAGTTTCATCCAACTCCAGAAGAGTGCCATGTAAGCCGATGGGGGGCTTGGCTAACGAAGGATCGCGAAAAGGCCTTAAATGGTGCCGGAGACCTTGTATGGTATTTCAATTGTTGTGTGAGCTTGGCCTAATTTCTAAAGCAAATTAGATATGTTCAAATTTATGGAGAAACCCACCAACTGCAAGAAAGCCATTTCAACAGCGAATAGAGTGTGGCCAACACGATAGAGCGAAGCAGCCAATCAAGAAGAGGCGCTGTATGATAACGGTAAAAATATCATCCTTGGCGCTGTTTTTGTTCAACCACGACGTCACATTCTCGCCAGCATTATCACCGTGGATGAAAGCAGATATCGCGCGTAATAGCAGCCAGTGTGGATCACCATAAACAGGGACTGGCTGCTCTGCGTGAGAAGAGCAGAACCTTCGTGGATGTCTCCGAATTCGTTCCCAAGCATTGCCTACGTGCTACTTGTCTCCCGCGTCATAGTATCAAAAGGTGATCTTCGACATCTGAAAGATGGACTACTTGGACATAACGTATGAATTCAGATCTATTTGACAAAGAATTCTCGTGTTTACACCTTTCTAGACATCTCTCTGGTGTCCAATGCTTACCCCCAGATATATGGATCAGCATTGCCAGCGATTATCTTGACAAATGTGACTTATCATCGCTTTCGAGTACATGTCGCAGTATCCGAGAGGATATATTGCCTATTCTCTTTAAGACAATTACCTTCTGTGCTTTTGATAGCAAAAGGTCTGGGAGTTTGGCACATTGTACCGCCTACTTGAAATACTCCCTTCGTCGAATCGAGGCTTTAATTCTGGACTGTAAAGTCCAGGACTATATACGAAGAATCCACCTACAGAACTTCGTTGATCTTCCTCAGGTTTTACCAACTATTGATGGCAACATGGCGACGGATGAAGATTGGCGATGGGAAGGACATAACATATCCCAAGAAGAATCCTTGGAACTTCACTCATTACGTCTGGCCCTCTTTACTCAGATCCGAAAGCTCGTCTTTTACCTTCCCAATTTGCGAAGAATAACGTTTTCGGAGGAATCATTTTATTCCTTAAAACTCTTTCAGCCATCTACAATCCGCCTTTGCTCCAGTTTTCGAGCCATTAAACCGGTCTCAATCATGTTTGCGATTGAAAGCTCAGCTTCACTCCAGTTGGTGATCCCACGCAATATTGCTCTATACAAGGGTGACCATACCTATTATAACCTGGAGACCTCATACTTCCTTGATCTAATACAGGGGTTGGACCTATCCATTGTGGAGGCCTATCTACATAGCCGCCTAATCGCATTCCTGCCAGGTTACACCAAATTGGCACAGCCATCTCTTCGCCGCCTCCATATCTCATTCAGGGAATTTGATCCTTTCTTCGAGGAAGCCTTCTACAATACCTTATGGCAGATTTTGTCCTCGTCGCCTGGGATTCAAAAGCTAGAAGTAGAAGATGTGGTTATTGGGCGGATACGTTCGTTTTCTACCCCGATTAAATTCACTTCGCATATTACCTCTCTGACGTGCGGGATCCACTTTCTGCAAGAATTGGATATTGAGGCTCCCATCCCAAATCTATGCCTTCGACTACTTTCATGGAACTCCACCATTCAAAATCAGCTTAGTTCAATCTCTCAATCGACTATAGTCATTGTGACGAAGCTCGATTTGGGGGATTACTTCATGTATTCCTTGGATGTTGCCACTACTATAGCCACGATATTCCCTCGATTGGAAGCGTTGGTCATTAGACTCAATCCAGCACCTCGTCAGAACACTCCTGAGGTATGTGCAATACGATTCATCTATAAATTAATTTCTCACAGTGTTTATATAGTTAATCATCAGAGATGCGTTGAATTCGGCGCAATCGTTTACCTTCCTCAAAACCCTGACGATATATGGCATCGATCCTACTCTTGAAATACCCGATGATAATTCAATCCTCGACGATCGAGGACATCCTTCTTTAGAC